TGCACAGGGAAACATTTTATTGGTAGAGGAAAGAATAGAGTAAAAAAAATACCAGTAAGTGCTGGAAGCAAACATCACACAATCTGAAAGAGAAAAGATGACTGCTTCTACAACAGGATAACGATCCTAAACATACATAAAAATCCACAATGGACTGCCTGATGAGGCACAAGCTTAAGGTTTTGCCATGGTCCTCATAGTCCTCTGACCTAAACATCATTGAAAACCGGTGGAAATAACTCAAAAGCGCAGTGCATGTAAGACGGCCCGAGAATCTCACAGGGAAAGGAAGAACGGGATTAGCCAACTACATAAAAAGTAAAATGCTTAAAATATTAAAGAAATGTGTAATCTTTATGCCTTTTGGAAATCAGGTCTTCTTTTACTCACTTAGCTATTTACAGCAACAGAAATGTTGACCAGGGGTGCCCAAACTTTTGCATGCCACTGCATTTACATCAAACTGCAAGCAGATTTTTATGCACTGAAAGGTACAGCAAACAGTCAGCATTATCTCAGCAACTCAATACGTTTCTTGTGACAGCAGCCAGTACTGCCTCACACACTTAAAACACTATAACTGGAGTGGGAACAATAGGTGACAATTGCAGGGGGGTGTGGGGAGTGCAGGGTCATTGTATTGTTTATGCCAGTAAAGGGCAAAAAAAAAAAACAAAACAAAAAAAAACTGTGAAACTGTATAGAACAGTCTGGAAACATCTGCTATAGTGAGAGTGCATTAAACAGTAGTCTGTATGGCGTACAGCAATGAGTTGATGGAAGATTTGTTAGATGTACAGAGATGACAGCAGTTTAAAGCGCTCAAACTGTATGATAATGAAAACAAAATAAATAATAATTCACATATACTCATGATTTCTGCTTTTACTTCAACATCTGATTTATCATGCAGCCCTAACATATTCCATGGAGACATGCCTTTTCTCTGTGTATGTCATCCAGAGAACTACCACACAACAGCAATGTGATAACAGCACAGTAGCAACATGCTGGAAGAGCATTGTTTCTTTAGCCCTCACTTGCAACCTCTCATATTTTACTCTAATCAGTAGTAAAATCAAATCTTCTCCTTGATTATACTTCCTCATTGCCTGTCTGTCTACAGCTATCTTTAGTCTGCCTTGAATGTAACTGAACTTTGAACTTAAATGACAGCTTTTGTATTGACTCACTGTAAAACTCAGTCAAGACATAAATTTTTAGCAACATCTAAACCAAAAGGTAGAGATCTTGCTACTAGCACTGCACAATCAGAACAGGGCACGAGCATCAGCTGATATTTTCCACTAATATGCAATCAGCAATTCTGTTTGGACATATCAGTGGTGTGATTACATGACGTTAATTTATGGTTATATGCCATAAGAACTATTTTAGTAGGTTACTTTGAGGCTTCTGTGAAAATCTATGGTCACTCCAGCACCTTGTCTGAAGTACATGCATGTCCGTGCATGTTTTAGGCCTATTCACCAGCCTGTGTGCTTCATATGACTGCTTTCATTTAGCCTGCAAAATGGAAACTTTGGTTAAAAAGCAAATAAACAATGTAATTGCCTTTGTTGCCTGTAACATTACAGAACTGCAGTCACCCGCTAAAGTACTTTAACATCCACCTAAGTATATTTTGTCCCATTTTAACAATTTTTAAAATATATTGCTATAAATTACACAGTTTGCATAAAATGAGACAAAATATCACCTACCAGTAAAAACATGCATTAAAAATGACAAGATCTTACACAATTTCTTTCTTGCTTTTATCCCAAACCTTACATGCCTTGTAGGCCTGGGCGATTTGATGATGTAATCGGATACTGTCAATGATTGACAAGTAACCCATGAACAGTGCTTTAAAGCCAATAATTGGTACGTTGGGAAACTGACAGAAAACTAAATGGGGCTAATTAACTTTTTTAAACAACTCGGGGTGGGGTTGAAACATGTTGGGAAATTGGGCTTCACTCACCACCCCAGTGGTCAAGTAAGAGAGAGAGAGAGAAGCTGCCTGTTAGTTCTCTCTGCTATACAGCATAATACTAGCTTCACATGCCCCATGGCTCTTCCCCTTTTAATTTTACGTCACATTAAGTTTAGTTTGCCTGCACTGAACATAAAATAAATGTGCAATGTTTTGGAACTTCAGCTTGCTTGAGTGTGACTTGTAGTAAAACAACCAAGCTAAATTGACAGTATATATTACCCTAGAGCAGCTATGTTAGCTCTAGAACTGTTAGAAGTAGAGAAAGCTCCTCTGAAGTAGGATCAGAGAAAGCTATTAAAGGAAAAACTGCAGCATTTTTTTCATACAGCTTATAAGTCTCTGTTGTTTTGGTGAGTTAAACTGTACAAATATATTACAACATGGTTTTCCAAAGGCACACATAGCTGAAATTCAGAGTGCCTCCACTATAACAACCGAAAATGCCCTCGTGTGCGTGGCTTCCAACAGAGTCTAGCAATCACTTGCAGTCTGAAGATGCCATGAATCTGCACCAGAAGGAGCTCCTGAACACACATTTACAGTAACATCTATTAAAACAATAGGTGAAGATTTTAAAAGATGCTGGGTTACTCATTATTACATTATACAGTGTAAATTAAAAGGCAACACACTCTGTCACCACCCCCCACAACCCCCTAATCCCCCACCACCACCAAACATCCACACACACACACACACACACACACACACACACACACACACACACACACACAAGATACTCCCCCAGGTATATTGTAGAGCTGTGTGAAACACTGCAATGCACTAACTAGTGGCGCTACAGAGAGGAACTAACAACGCATGTTAAGCTATAGCACTATGTACTTCCACTTTAGGTGAGCAGAAAACATATACCTGTCATAGCATCCTGGATGGCATTCAGTTTGGAAACAAACACTGGTGCTGTTGTACTGAAATGCAAATTTGCTAAGGTGCTATGGTTTGTGGCCTGCCATGTTAAGTTTCGCTTTGCTCTTCATCTTTTGTTATTGCTCAACTCTGGAGGATTCTGAGAGACTCGATCAAAAGGGAGGATTCCAAAGTCCTCATCATTCAATGAGTAAAGCAAGGCTAGAGGAAGAGTAGCAAGAAAATGCTCACTGAAATTTTATGAGGAAGAAAACAAGAGGAATCAAGGCTTAAAAGGGGAACTCATCCCTTTCAGGTCCACCTGATTATAACCTGAAGTTATGATCATGAAATCAAACTTAATGAACATAATTGCAACTTCCCTGAAGAATTTAGTGTCCATATTGTGAAAAAATATGCACTGATATGGGAACTGTGGCCTGTTTTTTACATGTACCTGTTTATCCATATATATATATATATATACATACATACACACCTACCTGGATTAGCATGATAGAGAAATTTAATGTTTACTTGTAGAGTTACAAATGCAGTAAATTCAATAAAACATTTCAGACATTTCAGCATCCCCATTGCCGAAAGGTTTCGCTCATACCACAAACAATGAATACATCATCAAATATCAGTATAAAATATAACTAAAATCTACTAATATCAATATGACTTCACAATCAATGAGCATCCATAATTGTGTGTATTAGGTCTTTTCCCTTGTGCTCACTTTCAGGTAGTTATGGAAGCCAATTATGCCATCAAAGGCATAATTAAAATGTAGCTCTTTGTTAACCAGACACAGTCTCCTCTCTAGGGTTTTCATGCCCCAGAGGAGAGCTGGCATGAGAAAGAAACAGGCCATTATCTCAGGGGGATCCATTAAGGCTGTTCCCTACTCCCATGAATGAACATGCACAGTGTTAAGAGGTCATGCTTGTCATTGTGTAGGTCATTCGGAAAGCCACAGCACTACAATGACAAGGTAATGTTGCTGATATGTGACGGTCAGTTTTTTGCCCTCACTTTTAGTGTCTCTCAGCAATGGTCATTCCCAACAGAGTCAAGGGTCATGCCATTTTTAGGTATGATTCCCTCAACTGAACCAGAGGTGGGTAACTAGTTATATTGATTTAAGTAAAATTTTAATTTTAATTTTGATGAATGTGTACTTAAATATTAATATTGTCACTTCAACTCAAACATATTGGTGAGAAAGGAAATCTACTTTTTTCTCAATTACAATTTTAGTAATTACCTTTTAGTCACTAATTCCTTTTTTTGTTTAATTTATATATATTTTGGCAGCATCTGTACTTCTTTGTGCTTGGTCACACTTCCAACTTTTGAGATTTATTGTTTTATTTTAGAGTAAAAGTGTCAAAAGAAGAGAAAAACAGAGTAAATGTTCTGATCCTATTCTGATAGATGTTGGATGTACTAAAATTCCACTGCAGTTCTATAATGTACTTAGTACTGATTTGGTGCTTTTGGTACTTTTGCATTTCTATTCAATTTCTTTTTTAAAAAAAAGGTTATTTTACTTTAACAAGAGTCATTATTTCATAGAAGTGCCCTGAGATTGGCTTGAGGCTACTCTACTTACCTCTACCTCCTTTACCTACCATCTGAACTTTTAGTTTGTTCCATATGTAATTGCAAACATAGCCAGAGTAAAATATGACCGGGTCGAACTGGTTTTAAGCTGATACATAACATTTTCTTTAGTCAAGTGATTCACAAAAGGCTAATTAACTCTAATCAGATAATCTCCATAAAGAAGCTTGGGGTGTGGTTTAAGGCAAAGTTGAGGTCACTAATGAAAACTGGAACAACATAAACAAAGAGGCTGAGATCTTGCAAGCCATTTCTCAATATCAAAAACAGAAACTCAAAAAGTGACAAGAAAGGATCATGAACCTTGAACTGTCTTTATGCATTCTCTTACTGAGTCAGCAGCAGCAGGTAAGATTATTTTGGCATCAGGAACTACCAGACATAGCCACACCCAGAGAGAGAGAGAGAGAGAGAGAGAGAGAGAGAGAGAGAGAGAGAGAGAGAGAGAGAGAGAGAGAGAGAGAGAGAGAGAGAGAGAGAGAGAGAGAGAGAGAGAGAGGAGGGCATACAGGTGAAAAGGGAGTGCAAAGAGGTATCCTGTTGCATTGGTGGAGGTTTCACGTTGGGGGCTGGGCCAGTGAAAATAAATCTGAGCAAACACAGGCAGTCCCAAGAAGCAAAGTGTTTGAGCTTCCGCAAACATGTTCCAAATGCCTTTGCGTATCAGATATCCTCAGTTGTGAAGACAAAGAGACAAAGGAAAGTGGTACACAGCAAGTGAAGAGGACAAGTAAGTGAGCACAGCAGAAAAAGAGGGAGGAAAGGTACACACCTAAACAAGAAAGGAAGTAGAGAGGGGTGGAGAGTTGTACCTGTAAGCTCTCCAGTTTAGACCCCGTCTGAGGTCTTCTTTCTACTGGCAGAGTGCTGCCTCTCATTGCAGCTACAGAACCATGACGGTGAGTCTATATTTTCTACAAATGAACTGGGTTACCTGTTGGAGAGGCAGTACACAGAGAGAGAAGACAGAGTTAAGGCTTACTCATTTTATTATGTTATGAGGCAGGTTGTAATTTGACAGAATGGTCAGAATTTGGGGATCTGCAGTGAACGCAGTGTTCTACAGTGTATTTGCATGCACTGGAATATACGCTTTCATGACCAAGCTTGGCACATCATTCCGAAAAGCCAAGTTCAGTCTAATGTAAGTTAATCTACATCAAAGCAGGTCTGTAAAAGAATTCAACATGAAACTTGATATCTTGTTCACTGACAGACAGTAAACAGGTGTCTAAAGGTCCAGTAGAATCAGTCATTCCCTCCATAATTTTACAGTTCAAAATATTGTAATAGCCTGTTGGCAAGTTTTTCTTCCAAGAAAAGTCAAGGCTAAGAAATTAAGAGTTTTCTACTTTTGTGTAAAATTCATCCAAGCTGTAATTTATATCGATAGAGCTATTTATACATCTTGATTTGTTCACTTTCAGGCGGCCTTATTTAAATGAATGATACTTCTGATACCAGACCTAAACACTTAAAAAGACCTGGAGCAAGGCAGGAAAACAGAGTGCAGTGTAACAGGCTCAAAGATGGAAAAAAAAAATTCTTATCAAGAGACCAAATGTCAAATATTTTACATAAACAAATAAGCCAAAATGGATATTCAAACATTTATGTTCCTTTATTGCTGTTGATGACATTCAATCTACAATATACCCATTGTTGCTGTCCTGTGAATAACACTTGGTGGACAGGTTCTCCACCCTCCTATGATCTTCTTTGTGTGACAATCTCAACGAATCATATGATCCGATTCCAAACAGACTAAATCTTGTGGCGTGTCCAAGTGTGGTGAGCCAAGCTGGTCTGGTGTGGTTTTCCAGTAAACCAGCCCCCCAGTGACCTAATTTAAGTGAAAAAAATTGGCCTAAAATGTAACCTCACCTGACCATTTCAAAACATGTCAGACAGACTGGTGCCTCAATTCAAAAGTTATGAACATCTTTTGCTTTCTCATTTCTTGCAGTTTTTGTTTCTGCTCATTTCATTGTAAAAAATATTCTACAACTCGTACAAACTATGACTCAGACTCATGCAAATTAATATACTTTTCCCTTCTGTGTAAGGTATCTAGCGCAGTTACTGTGCACTTTTAAAAGCAAAGTGCCAAAAAGAACTAACAAACTAGAAACAAACTACTACAGTAGTTCTGTTTATGGACTTCATAAAAGATATGAGAAACATATAAAAGTTTTGTGATGTTCAGTTTGGTTTGTGATGCACACCTTTGTTAACAATAGGAGCCTAATTTCCAATTAAAAATAACACCCAGATACACAGGCAACAAGCTCACTTCAAGTAGTTAAAATTTTTCTTTTTCTTCCAGCAAATAAATATTCCAAGAGAGGGGATGGGATGTTCATCTTTTTGACTGTACAATTCTATGAAATCCAGACAATACTGGGAAACGCATAGTAGAAATACACTCACTAAGCACTTTATTAGGAACACCTGTACACCTTCATAATTCATGCAATTATGTAGTCAGCCAAACATGTGACAGCAGGGCAGTGCAAAAAATCATGCAGATACGGGTCAGCAGCTTCATCAACAAGGAAATGCCCAACAGAGAATGGCCAGACTGATTTGAGCTGACAGAAAGGCCATGGTAACTCAGATAACCACCCTGTACATTTGTGGTCCCAGCAGAAAAGCATATCAGAATGCACATGTCAGACATTGAGGTGGACGGGCTACAACAGCAGAAAACCACATCAGGTCCCGCTTACTTCTGTCAGCCAGCATTAATATAATGTTTCTAATAAAGTGCTTAGTGAGTATAAATAAAAATGGTAAAGGCATAAGAAATTAATTTGTTTCCAGCAAAGACTTTTGGGTATTAAACTGCATTTCTAATATTCATATTCTACATTACAGTGGGTTTGTCAGAAATCCTTGTCAGTTCAATGAACTGAGCCTATTCTTAGAATGTGGCAAAAGCCATGAGCCCCACATGTTACATCAGTAGATTTTTCTATGTATAGTTCTTACAAGTTTTTGTACTTTGACATTTATGTTCATACATACTTCCCACACACATACACATTTTATCCATGTTAACTTTTAAATATGTTAACATACATCATGTACCTCATAAGGTACTAGCACTACTTATTGAAGCATGTTGACTCTCCCAAAATGATCAACCATATAGATGCACTTTGAAGGCCTTCTGTTGCAGCACAATTTGTCAGCCACTAACTTACCAATCCATTAATGAGAAGGGCCTACTACAGGATCACAAGTGAGTGACCAAATCAGACTGTTCCCCAAGGAACCAGGCCTGGTGGCTGTGTTTCTACAGGAAATACTAATATCTGAAAATCAACAGTAATTCTGTACTAATATCTGATGTTTCTCAGAAACAATGTACAACCCCATTTCCATGTATGTAAATAAAAATAGAATGCATTATTATGTAAATTATGTAAACTCTATATTTAATTGAAAATAGTACAAATATAACATATCAACCACTGAAACTGAGAAATGTTATTGTTTTTTGAAAAAATCTATGCCCATTTTCAATATAATGCCAGCAACACATTCCAAAAAAGTTGGGACGGGACATGTTTACCATTGTACTGCATCACCTCTTCTTTTAACAACACTCTGTCAGTGTCTGGGAACTGAGGAGACCAATTTCTGTAGAAACGTTTTTCCATTGTTGCTTGAAAGAGAATTTCAGCTGGTCAACAGTTCGGGGTCTCCTTTGTTGTATTTTTCATTTCATAATGCACCAAATGTTTTCAGCGGGTGTCAGATCTGTACCGCTGGCAGGCCAGTTTAACACGCGGACTTTTTTACCTCAGAACCATGCTGTTTTAAAACGTGCAGAACATGGTTTGACATTGTCTTGGTGAAACAGGCAAGGCCTTCCCTGAATCATTTCCCTGAATATCATTTGGATGGCAGCATATGTTGCCCCAAAACCTGTACATATCGTTCAGCATTAATGGTGCCTTCACAGATGTGCAAGTTACTCACGTCATGTCCGCTAATCCACCCCCATACTATCATGGATGCTGACTTTGAAACTATGTGCTGATTACAAGTTGGGTGGTCTTTAGTCTGAAGGATGCAGTGTCCATGATTTCCAAAAAGAATTTAAACTTTTAATTTGTTGGACCACAGGATACTTTTCCACTTCTCCTCAGCCTATCCTAAATGAGCTCAGGTCCAGAGAAAGAGTTTCTTCTTGTTTCTTCTTTGCAAGGTAGAGTTTTAACTTGCATTTGTGGATGCAGCAACAAACGGTGTTCACAGAAGTGTTTTTCAGGAATGTTCCTGGGTCCACGTAGTGATTTCCACTACAGAATCATGTCTGTTTGTAATGCAGTGCCGCCTGATGCCCTAAATATCACGGCCAGCCTTTATTAGTTTTTGGCCTTGTCCCTTAAATACAGAGATTTCTCTGGATTCTCCAAATCTTTTAATAATATTATGTACCGTAGATGATGAAATTCCCAAGTTCTTTGCTATTCTACATTGAGAAATGTTAATCTTGGATTGTTGCACTATTTGCCAGAGCAGTCTTTCACATAGTGGTCAACCCCTCCATATCTTTCCTTCTGAAAGACTTAGCCTCTCTGGGATGGTCTTTTTATACCCAATCTTGTTACTGACCTGTTGCCAATTAACTACCAGGTGTTTTTTATTAATTTTACCTGTCATTTGTTGCTCTGTCCCAACTTTTTTTAAAATGTGTTGCTGGCATTAAATTCAAAATGGGCATATATATTTTTCTAAAACAATAAAACTGTGATATACACTGATCTAAATGACTAATAACTGGGCATTACTGCTTCCAAGGCTTTACAAAATAGAGATGGTTTTTGAAAATTAGCTCTGGTATCTGGCCAGAAATTTGAACAAAATTTTAGTGGACACTTCTGCTTAGAGTTCTACTGCTCTTTAAATGCGGTTTGACATTTTGTACAATACTGCTGAAAGTTGGATTTTAACAACTGCAAATAACCAGAACCATTGTACAGTATTCTACGAGTGATTCGGAAATGTGGCACTGGAGAGGAACAAAATGAAACAGTGTCTTAATACAAATAAGGAAAGAAATGTATGCTGTTTTCTCTGTTGGCTCTGCATTGGCAAGTAGAAATGTCACATCAAGGGTTACCAGTACGTGTTCAATGCGTTATGAGCATATAATCACAATATGGCAAGTAGGTTATGGTTCAGTTTGGCCTGTTTGTCCTTTTTGCTTTTAATGTAGACTCAGGCTTACAGAGCACTGTTTCTAAGTGGCAACATAGCTCAGCTCAGCGTAGACATCTGTTGAAGTATATTTGTGTAACGTTAGTTCTTTAATCCTTCCATAAAGCATATATGGCAGGCATGAAGGCCTACAAACATTTTGAATCACTCTCACATCTGGTTGGAAGTCAGTCAGCCAACATAGCTACTGATATGTTCACCTTCCTGCTCCTATGCTGTCTCGTTGGATAATTTTACATTACCTACTTGGCTAGTGACATAAATAGATAGAATATCTGACAATGCGACTTCTATTACTTGGAAAAATATATATTCATTAAATTAACACCTTGACTTGACTAAATAACACACTGTCCTAGCTAGTTGAGTATTTAGTTGTATTACTAAACTTCCCATACTAAACTGTTGAACGAACTACTGCATAGATAAGATTAGCTATATTCAGAGGCATGACTAGGTCTGTATGGAAGCTTATGAGTAGTAAAAATTAATGTGAAAATGTAATATGTCAATGTATTCTTACGTTTGAATTTTAATGTATCACTCATATGTGCAATTTTGTACTCAAAATGAAAATTCAAATTCAGTTTTACCATTTTAATTCACCATTTCTTATACTAGCATTGACATTTCATTTACACAGACTCAGACGCTTTCCAAGTAGTTT